TCTGAGTAACATTGTATCTAAGATTCTACGTTTCATAATCAGTAGCGACTCAGAAACAGCAAGTCTGAAAAAAATGGATGTGTCGACAAGATCTTCACGCCTCACAAAGTCATGGAATACAGGCATACTACCAGTAACCGACGCTAACCTGGCCTGAAGAGGACATTAAACTCTGTCGATCAAGAGGTCTAATGGTAGTGTTTCTCACTGAAAAGGGTGTCAGGTAAATAAGTTATTCTACTAAACGTTGTCCATTCGAACATCCATGTAGGTGTGACAGCCTATAGCGAGTTATCAGATGAGTCGCATACGCCGACTGAAATCCTTCAGGGTTATGTATTCTCTACATCCTTAATTAATTTTATCATAAGCGTTGTGGTCTATCTCTCCTTGTCTTACTTTACACCGAATTACTTTATCACGAGTTCTTCAGTAGACCTAGAGTATACAGGTGATACAGTCCAGTAAGGTAAAGATGCAGTCTTCAATTCACCTCAAGCATAGCTAGGTTATGTTTCCGACCTCTCAAATTTAAAATACTGTCACAGGACAAGTCTGTGTCAACAGTTTGTCTGAAAATGACGGAAGAAGAGATTGAGTGCTCTAAACCCTTCATCTACATAGGAAGTCGGATCAGCAACTAACCAAATCTCTGAATAGATTTAAAAGGCTCATTTAGCTTTTTCTAATTTACACCAATTATAGCAGCGCCACGATACCCAATTACCTACTAAGGCCCGACAGTGATGTGCTGCAATTCGCTCTGTTCTACTATATGGCTGTGAAACATCCCATTCAAGGTGAAGGATATGATAAGATTTCAGGTATTCCATCACCATTGCATTCGTGGCATAGAATATTTGTTGTAGTGTCACCAAGTCAGGCGTGAAGTTTTAGGTAGAACAGGTAAATCATTTGATATGATTGTGAACTTTCATCTATCTGAATATCTGGGATATTTGTTATATGTATGCTTAGTCACAGTCTACCCCATAATCAATGTCAATTGAGGTAGGTTTACACTGGAAAATGATAAAGGTAATCAGACTAAAACATCACATCAGTCTATGAAGTTGCTGATTGTTGGTCTGACTCATGTAAAGAAATGTAAACCCTTCGGTTTTGGTCCCAGTGAAAACCGAAATCGTTGGTTGGAGACTTTAGATCACATGGTCCAGAATCCATTTCAGCAGTGTAGATACACCTAAATTTTGTCCTCATGTTGATCGTTGTATCACATTTCATTGCGACTTTTTACAACTACTTCTTCCTTATTTCTTTATCTTTCATTTTGGTGTGAAGTGTGCAACTTGGGGTGTTACACGGTATTAACAGTCTCCATATTGATACTCACTGAGTCATGCTTACAACTAACAGCAATAAAAAAGAATACTACTCATGAATAAATCCCGAAATGTTGATTAAGACACCATGGCTAACACCAAGTTCGAAGTAACATGATCGAATACAGTGAAAGAATTGTTGTCTTCAGTTAGATCGCTGTTTGAACAACAATAATAACTTGACTTAATTACAGAAACAGCGTCGACCGGGAAGTAATTTGGCAGGCAGCTGTTTCAACACTATGGAATACCACAAACTTTTATCAACCTCATTCAACAACTATAGAAGACGCCACATGTGAACTGAGTCACAATGGAAAGCTCAGTGATGTCTTTGAAGTGAAGACAGGAGTAAGACAAGGCTGTCTACTATCATCCATAATCTCCCTGATTGTGGTGGACTGGGTCATGCAGTAAACAGTGAGGAACGAGAAGAGCGAGATACGCTGGACCGTTGAAAAGATCCTACAAGATTTGGATTTCGCCGATGACCTGTGTCTAGTGTCATACAAACTTGAAGATATACAGGCGAAAACTAACAGGTTGACAGAAGAGGCAGTGGAGACGGGACTTCCTTCCGGTGGACGTAGAGAAGACAGAGGTGATGAAGATACCCATCCAACACCACCAACAACAAGGGGCACCAGTCACCACCAACAGAAGAAAATTAAAGAAGTAGCCTCTTTCACCTATTTAGGCAGGCAGCACTGTTTCAACTACAGGCGGTACGGACGAAGACATGAAAACTAGGATCGGAAAAGCCAGACAGGCCTTCCTGCAGTAACCTGAAACCAGTGTGGAGACCTGCATAAAGAACAAGATCCGGATTTTCAACACCAACGTCAAGTCAGTGATTCTGTATGGTTCAGTGACTTGGCGCGTTACGAAAGGGATTCCCAACAAACTACAGACATTCATCAACAACTGCCGCCTACGCTGGCTCGTTACTGAAGATCAGATAGATTGCCAGAATAATAAGAATAAGCAACAAGGAACTCACTCCGACTGGCTGGCAATGAACCAACCAACAACCTATCGCTCAACAAATATGCACTGGAAGGAAGTGAAGATGGATAGGATTGGACATATACTGAGAAGGCCGACTGGGGACATCACGCGCCAGCCCCTCGACTGAAACCCCAATGGGAAACGACGAGTTGGGTGTCCCAGCTGAGGGTGACATGGAGGAAATCATGTGAGGAAGAAATCAGAGCTTCTAGGTTGTCATGGAGCCAGGTTCAAAAGATTGTAGAGAACAGAGTGCAGTGGAAACGTGCTACCGAAGCCCTATGTTCCATTAGGAACCCAAGGGACAAGTAGTAAAATAATTACAAAAACACACAACTTAGCCGAGTATTTTAAAAGTAACACTAGTAGAAATGATAACAGAAGGCAAATCTTTAAAAAAATAATATATTTCTTTTCTTTCTCAAATGAGAACAATTAGTCTGCCATAGCCACAACTATTGGGAATAATAATTAGTTACACAAGACAAAAGTAAACAACATTTAACAAAGTTTCCCAAGTGAAGAATACAAGTTAAGACATTAGAATTAAAAAATAGTAAATAATGGTCCTCACCAAATAATAATTAGGATAATGTGTACGAAAATAGTATATTTACATATATGCACATGCATAGGATGAGGAATGCAGTCATAGTATATATATATATATATATATATATATATATATATATATATATATATATATATATATATATATATACACCAATGAGAGAAAAGTATATTTTTGCACAGAATTTCAATACGGTGTACTGCCTGTAATACTTGCAGCCGTATGTATATAATGGTAAGTAAAGATTACACAGTAAAATGAAAAGAATCATAGGTAGACAAAAAGGATATGCATTTATTCAATAAATAAATAATTTTGTATATGCATATCTATAGTGATTTTAGCCAAGATTAGACTGAATCATCTCCATTTTCCATAGATTCAAATATTAACCTATATGATTCTTGCATATCAGGTGAAGGATTCATTGAATCACTTGAATATTCACGTTCAGGACCTTTACCAAAATATCGTATCAATTTGCGATGAACACTGAATACACAAATTACACAACAACAACAAAAACAATCATAAAATGTTAACATTATTAAATAAAATAACTCCTTGGAATATACTACTAGTACATGAAAGGCAATAATCGTCTCCTAATACTATATATACATAGGAATACATACACTAGTCTGCGTTCCAAACCTGTTGCATTGAGGAGTGTGATAAAGCCAGTCTGTTGCAAAAGTTGACGTAGACTAGAATGAGTATGAATTCATCATCTCACTGCTGGAAATCAACACATATATTGGCAGCAAAAGCTACAGCTGAACACAACTCATAAATCACAAGTAGGAGAAAAAAAACTATAAATTATTCTATGTCAGTAAATTTACCAGTTTGTATAAATCTAAATGGATGGGAAAAGGTGTGAAATGATCACATTTCAGATGAAGATATCAATTGGTTAAAATTAAAATCAAGCCTTAAACAGTAATAATAATAATCGATTTGAGGTTTACGAGGATTGTAAAACTTGGGCACTGTGGTAGAATGTAATGCCATATTAGATTTGTTTATTTGATATATAGAGCACAGTGATACAGTATTATTTACTTGATTAGGTTTTGGGCATAAATTATTACTGCTCACAATCATATCAGTGTAATCACACTTCTTTCGATATCTGATTTTATAGTCCTGTCACCTGATCTCTCTTTGTTTTTTGATTGGTAGTAAAGTTTTCCATATCTCTGGTATAGGTGTTGCTTCATTCCTATTACGTGAACCAATGAAAATCTGGGAGCTATGACCTGTGGGGTCAACCAGTCAGAAGTGAAGTGGATGCTAACTGAACACCTTGGGTGACAGTCGTGTTATGTCGTGAATTGACAGAAGTTGGAAATTGTGAACCACTGGGAACCGACCCAGTGGCTCAATGGTTAACGTGCTCGCCCTGAAACCTGAAGGTCCTGAGTTCGACTCCCAGCCGGGTCGTGGGTGCGTGCTGGTGAGGAGTCCTATACTGCTGTCCAGTGCTACCAGATTTCCAATGGTTCCCCAACTGGTGTCAGTCCATGATGAAAATGACTATGCCCATGAAAATTCACATTCATCTCAGAAATACATTACTCATTAGAGAGAAGATTGAAGCTGGATGATGGGAGAGTTTATACCTCTGAGAATATAACAATCAACTTCATAACAGGTGAATACGTTCACACGTGAAATATGATCTTGTCCCCAATTTGAGACATCAGCATACTAAGACTAACCAATCAGTGAATTACAATGGAGGCAGAAAATAAACTAGTGGTCATACCGTAAGATTATGGTGTGAGAACGTCAAGTTAAAAATGCTCAAATTAATAACAATGTTTTATACAAAACTTGGAGCCTTACAACAATAAGTTTTTATTTTGGTAATATTTTAGAGCAAAATTAACCCTGGTAATTACACCAACTTTTGAAACATTTAAGGAATATAATAATAATCCAGAATATAATATACCACATTAATCCATTCCACAATCCAAAAGCTTTTTACTCATACATTTGGTTTAATAATGTATACTTTTCTTTTATGTAATGATCATATTAAGCTTAACTAACGTATTCATAAAGTCTTTCAAAGAATTGTCCTTTAAAGGTTACTATGGTTTCACAATTTATTTATCATTCATAAATTAATCCTCTTTTTTCCATCAATTCACAGTTAATTGGATTAGACTGATGAATCTAGTCCTGTTAAGGCTATGAGGTGGCGGCCGCGCTATGTCGTGAACTGACAGAAGTTGGAAATATGAACCATTGAATTCCGACCTAGCGGCTGAATGATAACGTGCTGGTCACGTGTTCGATATCTGGAGGGGTAGTGGGTGGACACTGCTGAGAAGTCCCATACTAGGACGAAACGGCTTTCCAGTGTTCCCAGGTTCCCAATGTTCCTCCAATTGATGTCAGACCATGATGAATACCGACTTGAAAAATCTTTTAATGATTGCTGATATGCGAATGATTGCGTCAGTGTCAGATAGGAAAAACCTATACCTCCGCCGCCGGAAGACCTCAGGATAAAGGAGGGAGGGTGCCATTTCTGTGACCAGTTTTCTCCAACCCCTGTTCATAGGAAAAGCAGCATGAGCACTGTACTACTGGCTGTCCCAACCCAGCCAGCCAGCAGTAAGACTTCGTTCTATGATCCACCCTCTCTCTATCACAGTCTGACTGTTTTTCGTCTTACCACTATCCAGCAGACATTTCTGGCATGGTGGGGCCTTGAGGAATAAGCATTCCAGCCAGGGTAGTTCGTTGAACTACTGTGATATCCAAGACCAAACACGACGTCAGGCTCAACAAGAAAAAATAATGTAATACTGGGCTTAGGGCTAAATGGATATCTCATCCCAAAAATCTTAACCAATCCCTCTTTATCGAGTAAACCAGACAGTACTGCATGATCTAACCCATATGTAAATAAAAACAAACACATATCAGAATCACACAAAAGATTACTTTATTACTGGTAGTTTTGTTCTAAAAATGATTGTGCCGTTAATTGTTGACCAGTGTAAAGTGACATTTTTGAGAATCAATTTAGACATATCGAAAAACGTAAAAGAACTTGACGATACAATTTACAAGTGAATAGTACAGGCAGCTAGTAAATGAGTTTTGTACTATTCACAACTGATCAGCTAGATGGACATACAAATCATCCTAACTATAGTTGAAAGTAGTATTGAAACATTCATTTGAAAAAAATGTAAATTTACCAACAGACACATAAATGAATTCATTCATGTAAGTTAGCTAGTAACACGTCTTACGTCATCACACCAACACACAAAAGAAGATATAAAAGAAAGAGAGAAATTCTAAAAATGATATAATCAGAGGTTTCAAAAAACCATAAGAAAAAGAGAGGAACTATAACAAATAACGAAATATGATAATAACAACTCAGAAAATGAAAACATATGAATGCTTCGGATATACTTTGATCATACCCAACAGCTTTCAATAATCCACCTAGTTCCGGTTATTGTGTAGCCTCCAAACCACAAAGTAACTATGTCCCTCCCTATACAATTCAGACTAATTTATATTCAACTGTAAAAAAACAAATCAACGAGAAGATTCAAGCTCTGATAAAAACAAAATTTAAATCTGACTTATGAATTTAATTAACCGAAAGAGATAGAACAAATAATCACATTCACAGCATCTTTACATGAAGAGTATTCTATGTACCAATAGAAAAACGGGTGTTGTATATCAATAATAGTTTTTTTTTTAGACTTACAAGCATATAATATTTGATTTGGGAATTAATTCACCATCACAGCACCAAATAGATGTTTTCTTTCGATTTACATTACATACTGAAGGGAAGGGTGACTTTATAGTCGAAACACATGGATAAGAAGATGATTCTGTAACCGACTGAGTAAGCTTGCGTTTATTATTCTGAAGTTTGTCAAAATTAACCTGTTTACCATCTGAATACTCTTGTGTGTTGTTTAAATGCTGCGCTGAATGGCTATCCAGTGCGACGAATCGAAAAGCACGCACTTTTTGAACAGTAATGAAAGGAAAATTGAAAGGATTCTCATCAGATGTCATATGATGATTATTAGCTATACGCATAAGGTATCCAAGGAACTGAATTTGTGAGCATTTGCGGACTAGAATCAAATCTAAACAACCATCACCTAAATGAGCCCAAGGAGCAGGACCACAAATAGCTCGAGCACATCGACAACTTTGAATACAAGCATTTACCGCAAGAAAGCTACTCCGGATAGTATGCCAACCATGTTTTACACTTTTTGAAACACAATCTGGTAATGAGATAGAGTCTAGTTGTTCAAGTCCACTGTGAGAAATACTACCATCTTTGTGTGACACAACGTTACACGAATTCATATGGACTGAATTGATGAAAAAATTCTCACCTGTCAGAAGAGAAGAGAAAAAATAGGTTACTTGGAAAGTGCTATTCACGTCACATGGATTTCACACGAATACAGTCACATTTGTAACTTCAGAAACTAAACTTTCAGTTAACAGAACAAGCCATTTAATGAGTAGAAATCAAATAAAAAGAAGGACTAGCAATAGCTGCAAAATCATAGTTTCTCTGGGACAAATCCGTGTAACAGAAAAGATGTTTGATTGAAGTTAGCCACACACACACATACACACAGACATATGCACAACTGAAAGTCAACTATTCCTGGAATTAACACTAATTTATTAAATCTTGTCATAATCAACGATGCTGCATAAGACACCTACCAGAGACAACACTGCTTTTTAAAAACGGAAAAGAACAGTTGTAAATGCATGTCAACTAAAAAAAAAATATCTGAATACATTATAACCAGAGGTTCTGGTTCGCTCTATAAAATCCACTAAACCCTCAGTTCCTTATATTGCAAAATTAATTTCCGTTAAACTCATTGCCGTGTAGTTGACTTCTCTCACATGATAGAACACTAAGTAGGCATCATTTCAGTCTAGAGTAATCCATTTAAGTTATGACAAACTGAACAAGAGATTGAATAGAATGAGTAATGAGCTCGAAGACAACTATTTGTATCAGAGCTGTAAAATGCAACCAAATGCTTTGGTACGCGTTAACAGCCTCTGCTAATGAAGTCTTATTCACTGCCTTCGCGTGACGAGGGTGTTTTCAAAGATGTAAAAGGGCGCAAGCAAATGTCCGGCACTTATCACCTGACCAGTATATACTGAGGGGTTACCTAGGAGAGTTGGAAAACCCTGATTATAAACCAGGTTCCAGATGGAATCTACAACCATCAGCAGTTATCGAGATGGGAAGTACCCTTGGGAGACTGAAAGGAGCTCATGCCTCTGCTCACTCCCGGTGGTGAGCTGTTCAAAGTAGTCGAAAAGTTGTGTATCAGGATAGTTGCATGAGTGCTGGTGGAGGTATGAATAATGAAATTTCCAACCACATATCACAAGCCAGAGTGGCATATGCCCACCTTGGCCACCTTTACCACCATCGTGACGTTAATCTGACCGTAAAACGTTGGGTTTACAACGCTTCGGGGCGAGCAGTTCTGCTCTGTTAAAATAGTGGAGAATGTTTGTAGCTCAGGTGCATCGTCTTAGTTGTATTGTGTTCTCTGAGCTGGATTGTTTAATCGTGATGCTTTCATCCTCCTTCATACTGAAGTCAGTGCTGATGATGTCGCCTAGAAGGACGATGAAAGCTTCACGATTAAACAACCTAGCTCAGAGGACACAATACAACCAAGAGTTGTGCTCTATGCCTGTGAAACCTAGTACCTACCTCCGAAGTGAGGATGTGTGACTACTCTGTGTTCGGTCGTTGTTGTCTCCGTTGAACTTCTCGAGTCTGGTGGTAACACCATGTAAGCAATTGTGAGGTACAGAAGCGTGTGTGTGTTGGGCATGATGGAGATCGTCAATCAATACGTGAAGTCATCTGCAAACACCAGCTTCAGTGGCTTGGACATGTGTTACACATGGTCTAACAACAGCTTCTTCCTTACCGTTGATTATGTGCTAGCCCTGGAACTGGATGGAAGAAGTGGAGGGGTAGTCAGTGTATGATATGGCACCATGGGATGATGGATATTTGTATCGGGTTACTATCTGTTGATGTGTCACGACTCCCTGGGTTGGGGTCCGAGAGGTGACGCCACTCGGTGGCTTGAGAAGTTATCAGATATAGTTCCTAATGGAAAACAGTTGTGGTCATGCTGTAACTTCCTTCTATCTTCTGCTGTTAAAAAGTTATGAATGTTGTGTTCTGAATGTATCCTACTGAACAACCCTTCTATTTATTGTATTCTCATTGCGTTTTTTTCTTACTTATCCACTAGCTATCGCCTATGTCTTCATAATGTTGTTATATTATTTTGTGCGGCACATTTCTTGGTGCCTTGTTGTATCATGCTTGTGTTCTAATAAAAATATAACACCGATTGTAGAAAGACTGAGGATCGATAGTATTCAGGTAAGGTATCAATAAAAGATAAATAGTTTCAATAAGATTCAAACCAACTTAGATACTAATCACTCACAAACAATGGACATATAAGCTTCCAAATCATCTCGGAAAGATATACAACAAAATGAATGTCTAGTTTTTTACAAATCTCACCAACTGAGAAAACTTGGAAAACGTCAGTCATTTGATTTAAATTCACTGAGTGAATGCTAAAGCACTTGACCAAAAAGCCAATGGTTTATGTCTAATCCTGTATAGGATAATAAAGAGTGCGTACTGCTAAGCATTCTCAAGTTGAGACGAAAAACTTATCCCGTACTCTCTGGTCGTCACCGGTTGTTTCATTGATATTAACTCATAACAGAAACTTTTTTGAAATCAATCGATTTCTCGTAAATCACTTAAGTGAATTAAAGTATACTCCCAAAACAATTGCAGATACACACTTAAATTCGAACAGTTAGAATAATGGGCATGTTTAAAGCTCAAAGTTTCATTCTTATTTCACTTTAATCGTATCCCTTTAATGCTCACAATTCGACAAATTAACCTGATCAATTCAGAGATGTGCACTGCCTTAATGTTATTCATTTATTTCTCCTTTCGGTTCATATTGGAACATAGGGCTTCAGTTACACCTCAACATTTCACTCTCTTCTCTACACTCTTTTCAACCTGACTCCAAGACTGCTAACAAGCTTTTGTTTCTTCTTCACACCATCTACTCCATGTCGCACTCAGCTAGGACGCCCAACTCATCGTTTCATATTCCCGTCTCATTCAACGCCCTGGCATTACGCGTGATGTCCATAATCAGTCTTCTCAGTCCATGCCAAAACCAATCCATCTCCACTTTCTTCTTTTGCATATATCTAGGGCTATAGCTTCTTGGTTCGTTCGTAGGCAGATCAGAGTGATCTAGTATTATTTACATGATCACGTTTCGAGCATATATTATCATTACTCATAATCATATCAATGTTATCACACTACTTTTCACATTCAACTTTTACAGTTATGTCACCTCAGATGAGTTGTTTTTATTGGTGGCAAAATTTTCCATCTCTCTCTGGTGTATAGGTGTTGCCTGATTTCTATTACATGTGTTCGGTTGAGTGTTGATTCGATGAACAAAGATTGAATAATCTCTCTCTCTCTCTGTGTCTCTCTCTACCGAATGATATATATATATATATATATATATATATATATATATATATATATATATATATATATATATATATATATATATATATATATATATATATATATATATATATAGCTAATTCCCATGTTCGGCTATTCCAACTGACCCCGACCAACTAGTTTGACCTATTTACTTGACCTGACTCACAGTCATTACATTACATGGAATTTGATAGACTATATTATTTTGCCTAATTGGTTCTATCGGATCCTTAAACTAGTCGACAAAGCCTACTGCAATGCATGCATTAATACATAACGACACAAAATAGGGTGGGATAAAACTACTGTACTTAAGTTCAATATAATTTAGGTGGAGAGAGAAAGAGACAAAGACAAATTGATTACTCAATCTTTGTTCATCGAATCAACACTCAACCGAACAAATGTAATAGAAATCAGGCAACACCTATACCGGAGAGAGAGAGAGAGAGAGAGAGAGAGAGAGATAGAAAATTTTGCCACCAATAAAAACAACTCATCTGAGTTGACATAACTGTAAAAGTCGAATGTCGAAAGTTGAGTGATTACACATGGATATGATTATGAGTAATGATAATATATGCTCGAAACGTGATCATGTAAATAATACTAGATCACTGTGATGTAAATCAAATAAACAAAACTAATATGGAATTAATTTCTACTACAGTGCCCAAGTTTTACACCTATATTAAGGTTATAGTGAGTTCCTTGTGTATTATTCTCCCTGGCCATCTAATCTGATCTTCAGTATCGAGTGAGCGTAAGCGTAGACGGCAGCTGTCGACGAATATCTGTAGTTTGTTGGAAATTTTTTTCGTAACGCCCCACATCTATGAGCCATATAGAAACACTGTCTTCATGATAATAATAGATAAATGATTAACGAAAGCTTCCTAATCATTAGGCTTTACAATACTTCTGGCTATCAATCTACTTGTGCTTTACTTGTGCCCAAATATCTCGACAGTGCCCTGGATCACATTATGATACAACTTAGAAGTCGTTAACAAGAGAACGGAATATAAATATCTCTCACCATGTAGTCTATGTTAATATCAAAGTATCAGTATGATGAATAGATGTTGCAACACAAGCTAGTATGTGTGTTTAAAGTAGCTCTATACTTTGAAGCAAAGAGTTTTAGTATTTTAGACAACGAATACGAGGCTCAGTTTTCAATCGAAACACTACTCATTATTTATGTTGTTGCTTGAGTCATCCCGTCTATATTAACAAACGGGCCCTTCCGCGGACGCTTCGATATTGCCAATCTTTCAATTTTATATTAATGATGTAGAGTGGCTAGTAGTGGAATCCAGTATGCATGTGTCGTCCCATTTAGAACTCGTTAGCCGAATTTACTGAACCCTGTGCTCACTGTGAAACCTGTAGGTTTTGAAAACGATCCCTCACGGGGTCACAAGTATCCATTGTTTAATCCCAAAATTAAGATGAGACAGATACACACTGATTTCGTATTTTCAATTGTTCTACAACTGATTTCATTCAACAATCGAGTAGTGAGTACACCCCAAAAAAAAGAATATGACCAATGATCTAAAAAAAAGTTAATGAACAACTGGTAGAATAAGTACCATAAAAAACATCATAAAAACAGACAAGTAACAATCTAACTTACTACTCTGTAAATCAGACAAACGTGTTAGGTTGCTTTGACGACCATCACTGTTAGATGATATGCTTTGACCTAGATCAGAATCCATTGACGATTGATCTACTATTTTCTGTGAGTTTGTTACACATTGAACACTATTTTCTAAACTAGATGTTGTACTAGATAAATCAGTACTGCTTCTACTTCTACTATGTAATGATGATCCAATAGGTAAACTAAATCCAGATCCATTACAATTTGTAGTGGTTAAAGTCGGTACATTATTGTTAGGCATGGAACCAATATCCAATTTATACGAATCTGTATTACAAACAGGACATCTGTACATAATAGAAAATGAGAAATATACAAAACTATACGATAATATGCATTAAACATATAGAAAGAATTAAAAACACAAGGGATACGATTTTCACGTGTATTCTAGTATCAAAACCAAAGCATATGTGAAGTCTCATGATGAAGACATACCTTGTACCAATTCCAATGTATGGAAATAAAAACTAGGTGCTAACATAAGAAACCAAAGGCCAATCTTTATTATCGGGTGATGATTGAAGATGAAATGAAGATCTGAGTCGCTGCAGGATTATTGGAATAGTGCTCTGCCAACTAAGCTAAAAGACTCAACTGCTAGCTGACCACATCTTAATTTAGCTTCAGTCATCAAGGGTTTTGCACAACCAGCAGGAGAATTTGTGATGCATTACTGTCCGTTCATTGTATTCACACTGACTGTTCATCCAAAACTTCTCATTCCCATCCAAATGAAGCTTAAATTAGAGATGGAGAGCATCATACTGGATATCTAAGATAGCGGTGGTTTAGCAGACTCGTATTGTTGATAGTCACACTGATTAAACAACCCAGCTCAGAGGACACAATACAACGCAAGCTGATAAATACTCAAGTGACAACAGGTAAATGTTCAAATGACTGTGTAGTACTTTGAAAGAAACAATAGTATACTGCGCCAAATTACTATATAGCTAAATGCATACATATCCTCGCCCCTCGCATAAACGCATACATATATGCTATACATGAACAAACTTTTTCTTTTCTTTTATTATGTGCCCTTTGGGTTCCTAGTGGAACATAGGGCTTCAGTAGCATGTCGCCATTTCACCTCGCCTGGTTTACCAGCCGGTTCTAAGCCCGGATAAAGTGGGAAGGTTGAGCATAGGGCTAGCAACTCTGGCCCATGAAACTAATTCAACCTGTTAATAAACTTCAAAGATGAACAGACCAGGACTAAAAAAAGATATATTTCTAATATATTCAGAATTGGCTGATGCGACTAAATGTAACGAAGACGAGTTATTCACCATCATCATTCACCCTTACATCATCCAACTTGAAACGAAAATGAAATTTACAACGAAAATCAAAAATAATATCGCCTAAACGTTTAGTCGTACACCGAAAATATGGTGGCGATATGTGGATGACACATTTGCTGTGTTGAAATCGGAACATATCGACAATTTCCTGTTGCATATAAACTCAGTAGTAAACACAATCCAATTCACTTACGAGGTAGAAAATGAACAAGGAGAATTACCTATATTGGACTGCAGAATAAAACGAAGAACAGACGGTGGCTTGGATACTACTGTCTACAGAAAACCAACACATTCGAACAGGTATCTAGACTTCTAATCATTCCATCGAATGTCAGTTAAAGGCAGGATTAGTCAAATGTCTAAATGATAGAACTAGAAAACTGACTAGTCAGAGCAAGAACCTAAACAAGGAATTGAAACACGTAAAAGAAGCGCTAATAGTTAATAATTATCCCCACATTTGTTAAGAAATTCTTACGGACACACACAAAACGAAAAATTAACAGTCATACGAGTGCGACTAATAACGACAACACGAGAAAAAAGGAGTTCACAGCCTCCATTGTATTACCCTTTAACGAGGTACCTCAGAAACTTTATGTAGAATCCTCAACAAACCTGGAATTAGGGTGGCGTTTAAACCTAAAAACTCACTCAAAGATAAGCTTTGTCGACTAGTTTAAGGATCCGATAGAACCGATTAAGCAAAATAATATAATCTATCAAATTCCATGTAATGTAATGACTGTGAGTCAGGTCAAGTATATAGGTCGAACTAGTCAGTCGGGGTCAGTTGGAATAGCCAAACATAAGAATTTAGTTAAATATAATAGAATGACAGACCTGAATAAGATGAATAATCTAGAAGAGACTCAGCTATTGCTATGCATGCATGCAAGCATGCATGCATGAAGACACAACCACAACACACAGTGATGTAGTATTATTTACATGATCACGTTTCGAGCATACATTATCATTACTCATAATCATATCAATGTTATCACACTACTTTTCACATTCGACTTTTACAGTTATGTCACCTCAGATGAGTTGTTTTTATTGGTGGCAAAACTTTCCATATCTCTCTCTCTCGTGTATAGGTGTTGCCTGATTTCTATTACATGTGTTCGGTTGAGTGTTGATTTGATGAGCAAAGATTCAGTAATCTGTCTCTCTCTCTCTCCACCTAATTATATTATTATCAATGGTGTAGCCAGATAAACTGAGCTTACAGAGCCGAATTAGTTCAGATCACATGGGTTTGGCTGGCTGACTTGCTTACAATCGGTATGCCTAAAATAGGATGATCAATTTGTAATTGCACGGTTAACGTTGACATTTTTCACATTTGAATAGTTTTTCATCTGCCCAACTGAAGTGTGTCTACAGGATTTCAGTTGGAAACAACTCAGCCAAGACCACATACAAGGTATGATTTCTTATCTCTGACTGGGTAGTTTCCAAAGAAAACCCTGATAGCACTACAATCGGAAAGTTGAAAAAACTATTCAGCTGCGTGAAATGTCAATGTGGACCGTGAAATTCGTCAATCATTTGCTAACTAATCAACCTTCATTGTTGGCACACACGTTACATCATCATAGATACTCTTATGAAGGTCTTCCTCTCATCACCTAATTACACAAACGTTGACCTAATCACAGGAGAATTTTCGTCACACCTAGAATATGCAGATGACATAATCCTGTTAGATGAAGACACCGACAAAATCTGGAGTCTTCTGAACACTTTGAGTGTCGATTTGAGAATGTTCGGGATGCGGTTCTCACCACCTAAATGCAAATTTTCGCTCCAGTACTGGTCTTCAGCAGTACCACTCTAACAATAGAGACTGGAGTGGTTGAGTGTGTTGACCAGCCCTGATGCACTGGCCAGTTGCCGATCAAATCTCTGCATGGATACAAAAGGCTCGATTGGCTTTTGCCAATTTACACTACCTACGGCGCCACCGTGATATCCGATTGTCTATTAAGGGTCCGTCTACTGCACACCAGTCCGCTCTGTTCTACTGTATGGCTGTGAAACATGGCCATTGAAAGTGGAAGACATAAGAAGGCTTCAAGTGTTTGACCACCGTTGCCTTCGTAGTATAGGCCGCATTCCGTGGTGTCACCATGTGAGGAATGCAGAAGTTAGGTATAGAGTTTTAGGGAGATTGAGATGGTTGGGACACGTACTATGTATGCCTAGTCACCGATTGCCTTGTCACACAATCTTGGCCAAAGTAGGTCCAGGCTGAAAAAAGGCACGAGGTGGCCAGACTAAAACATGGCACCAATGCATGAAGCTTCTGACTGTTGGTTTGAGTCATGTTGGGCAATGCAGACTAGCCGGTTGGGATCCACGGGACAACAGGAAACAGTGGTTAGAGACTCTAGGGGATATGGCTCAGAACCGATATCAGTAGCGCAGATGTATACATATATTATCCTCATCTTAACGCTATACCGAATCTAACCATTTTGACTGCATTCTCTTATCTTCATCTTCCACCTCACTACCTTTCTACTTGATGTACTCTACTGAGCTGTGGCAACTAAAACCGTTACGCAGTAATGCCTGGTCCTATGTTCATACTGATTGATTGATACATCATAGATGAAATCAATGAAATCTTAATAAAGCTAAAATGTGAAGACAAATCATACACATTAATCCATAGAAAACTATATGACCTAAACAATCCTTTTGAAAGTACTGATGAACATCAACTATTCATATCATTAGGAACGGAAATGTTATATTGAATGACTTGTTCATATCAATAGAAAATGTAGCCCTTAAAAATAATACAAATTCGAATAGCTCAACCTACCCACAATAGCAAACAGTACCATTGGACGACTTATTGTCAGGATCAGAACACGGTAAGAAAGACACCTCACCAAAATAAGAAGTATGTTGTAAGAAAGCCTTGAAACCTAGAATTAATCAACAGAAATGAATAAAACTAATTGTAATTATACAAGGAAATACTAATTTATTCTTAGACGAAAATCCTCATAAAATAAATACATCTGTGTAACGTATGCAGATTTTTGAGGTAAATGCATTAATTTAGCCATCAATGGACACCAGGGCTAGGGTTTTATTCCCACTGGCGTCTATCACGAACTAAGTCAAAACCGACAGGTGACTTGACAATACCGCTCCACTATCCAAGTTGTCATAGCTCACATCTCCACATAATGATATAAGGTAGTAAGATGAAAGATAAAGAAAGAGAAACATTTGGATTGAAAGTTAAAGAAGGTTATAAGAAGAGGCTAAAACGATGATGCAGCAATCAAGACAAAGATAATGTTTGCATACATATGCCCTAATGAGATTGATTCTGAGTCATATCATCTAGAATTCTCAATCAGCAATATCGATTTTCATGTGAACCCCAATCAGGAAGTCTACATTTCCTTACACAGCTTAAACTAACAGATAAAGCATTTATGAACTGGTGCTTAATTTTAGTCAAACTGCCTGTAATATTTCTCCAGTCTTAACACATTCCATCTAATACTGTGAATTGGGTTAGACGGTGACTAGGCATGCGCAAAACACCGGAGGCACCAGAGTCGATGAAGTCTAACGATTTAATAGATACACCTTGGTCACGTCTAGAACCTGCCTAGTTTTCTTGAGCTTGTTGTTAGAGAGTTCCAGTTAGATATCATTGACTACGGACCTTAGGGTCTCAGGTAGTGTTAGTCAAATGATCTCCATGTGGATGTCACAAGAAGACTTCTCCCCTTTTTTATAAACTTGGATGATCAGCGATGTTGACCGGTTTGATTGGACTACTTTTGATTCCTATACACTAACTTTACACTCAACAATGAAAAAGGTTTATCTTTATCCTTAAAGTCATCTGACAGCAAACCATTAAGTTTCGTTGCTTTGCATTGTTTCAGGTTTCAAATAGCCTTCTTAACCTAGAGTTGAAGGATCAACATTCACGTCCTATCCAAACTTCGGTTGCACATTTGGTGACTGATGTGTGGCATTCGGCCAGTTGAACTGTTCTTCAAAGTCTTCCACGCAACGTTGTAGCTGGATTTTCTGAGAGATCACCAAGGACCTATCCGTTTACGTAATAAGCTAATTATCGTCTTTGTCTCGGTAGTTTCCTTAGTAAGCCTAAACAATTGCTGAACATTAACCAATGCTGATGTCTTCTCCACGGCTGATGATCACTGCAAAGACTCTTAGTCAACTTACTTTCAAGAACGTTGAAGGTACATACACATAATAGTCATAAATGATCATAAAATACTTCTTAAATATACCATACCTGAATAATCATATCTATGCGGACCCATCCACCGTAGTTTATCATCATTGCGTAAAAGATCAGCATGAAATCCATAGCCCAGCATGGTAAGCGCATAACGAATAAATGTCCCATCTTCGTCTGCATGAACAGAAACTACGTCTAAACCAATATCATCACCTGTGTTTTAAAAAAAGCAATGAGAAAGTCATAATGTGAAAATAAGCTGTAAATCTACATAATTATCTATCTATCTCTATGTGACCAAAAATCCATAGTCTGTTATTGCGTAAAATGGCAATGTCTTGACCTCAGCCATTTTTTAAAACCTACACTTTATCCCGACAACATTACATACTACGGTGAGCAAAACAGCCCGGACGGTGGTTCACGAAATGCTCGACTCTAAACCTACAGAAATCAACAAAATACGACAGATCATATCCGTCTTTTATCATCAAACCTCACCTCTAACGAAACGAATGTGTTTCATATGGTTAACCTGAAGAGTGCTGATCCAGTTGTGAGGGCGCTAGACACTTCCCGGTTGCCCATACCGTGGAAGGATATTTCTTCTTAAGGTACCTGAAAAAAATTTGTGTGACCACACCATCTGCTTGAGACCTGTCACTACAGCCTTTTGAGAATGATTATTTTTAACTTTTGTATTTTTGGAGCCGGATTGTCGAAAAGAAACGACAAATGAACCAACACCGCCGGCCCGACAGACGTGGGGCATGGTGAAGTGTGTTATTTTAGGGGCTGACCTTTTCTAACCCCCCCCTTCCACAGCAGCAGTACGACTTCACCCTCGCACCCCCATCATAGTGTAGTAATTTACACCACAACGGTAACTGCTTTTCGTCTTACCACTATCTAACAGACCTTTCTGGTATGGTAGGACCTCGGGGGAACAAGTGTCCCATCAGCATAGCTCGTTGGGTCATTGTGATATGCAAGCATGTAAATCTACTAAAAATATGATGCCGTTATCAGAGTAGATCAAAAATGTAGATGTTACTTATTATGCCAAGCAACTGGCTCTCAACAAGTCAGTCTAGCGTTCAAATTCCACTCTTTAATTCAGTTTAGGTAACCGGATACTATCATAATAACTTACACACTAAATGTAGCGCATATTCCTGGTGCATCAAAAATTGTACCGGGTAGCTGAGTTGCACATGTTGATAATCACTGTATTACACACAGTAACTGGCAATAAATTAGTCCGTTTTCATTGATGATACCGATAAAAAAATATTGACCATTTACAGAAGCCATCTATTTGGACGAAGAATTACCAGAAGACAGAAAGTCTTCGGCTATCCGCATAAGCCATAAGTAGGCCTATTTTCAAAATATATTTAACTCCATCGCTGGAAAATATTGCTCATACCATAAGTCGAAAAGTCGTATTCTCGTAACCAACTCACCCTCTCACATGATTTTAAACCTACATCATATTTTCTTTTCTTTTACGCTACGGGTAGGTGTGACAACTCCGACTATAATAATAAGTGATTTCCAGGAACTTGGTAGATATAGCTGAGTTGGAAGATCTTGAGGATTATACGGTATTCTAGAATGGAGTACGTAAGTGTTAACACCAGCTCGGTACACATTGGTTTCAATTGTTGTTTCACCCATAACCACTATTATTTATCCTTTGGGTTCATGGCGGAACATAAAGCTTCATTAGCACGTCCCCATTTCACTCTGTTCTCTGCACTCTTTTCAACCTGACTCCACGACTGCCAACAAGCTTTCATTTTTTCCTCACATGATCTCCTCCATATCACCCTCAGCTGGACGCCCAATTCGTCGTTTCCCCTTTGGATTCCACTCGAGGGACTGGTGTGGGATGTCTCCGAATGGTTTTCTCAGTCTATGCCGAATCCAATCATTCTCCGTTTTCTTCTGAATATTTTTTAGGCGATGGGTCCTTATTTGGTTCGTAGGCAGGTCATAGTGAGTTCCTTGTGTATTATTCTTTTTGGCCATCTGATCTGATCATCAGCATCGAGGGTAGGCAGCTGTTGTTGTAAATTGTCTGTAGTTTGTTGGAAATGCTTTTTGTGATACGCCAAGTCTCTCAACCATCACACTTAAGCACTGACTTGACTGAATTAGTGTTGAAAATCCGGATCTTGTTCACTATTTATGCTGAGTGCAGTGCAGTGCAGTGCAGTAGATCTCCACACTGATTTCAGGTTAATGCAAGAAGGGCTGTCTTGCTTTTCTGATCCTGGCTTTGACATCCTCATCTGTGTTTGTGCCGCCCGTAGTTGAAACGATGCTGTTTAGGTAGGTAGGGTAGGTAGTAGGTTAGGTAGGTAGGTAGGTAGGTAGGTAGGTAGGTAGGTGAAAGAGACTACTTCCTTGAGGTTTCTTTCGTTGATGGTGATTGATGCTTGTTGTTGTTGGTTGGTTGGTTGGGTATCTTCATCACCTCTGCCTTCTCCACGTTCACTTGAATCCAGTCACATCTTCGCTGTCCTGTCTCTTCTTCCAACTTGTTGGTTTTCGCCTGTAGATTTTCGAGCTTGTGCGATAAGACATTAGACATATATCATCATTGGCGGTGATATCCCAATCTTCTAGGGTTTTCTCATCTGTCCAGCCAAGGTTTGTCTATCTTCTCATAGCTCCTCACTTTCTTGCATGATCCAGTCCAGTCCAGTCCAGTCCAGTCAAGTCAAGTCAGGTCGAGTCGACCACAATCACGAAGATCATCGATGATAGTTGGCGGCAACCTTATCTTATTACTTCTTGTCTTCACTTCACTTCACTTCACTTCGAAGGCATCACTGAGCTTTCCATTGTCAATCACTTGGCATATAGCATCCTCATTAGCTGGCTGTTGTTGAATGAGATTGATAAAAGTTCGTGACACTGAACCATGGTGTTGAAGCACTCTCCAAATTACTTCTCGGTCGACTGTGTCGAAGGCCTTTTCAAAGTCGATGAAGTTGAGGTAGAGTTGAGTTGGTTGCCATTTTATGCTTTGTTGTATGATGATACGTAGTATATTGTCGCAATTTGATCCGCACATGATATGTTTTTCCTGAAGCCAGTCAGTCAGTCATCGTGTTCCGGTCGTAATTTTGAATCCAGAGTACCTTTTAATATCTCCAGGATGATGTAGCATAATATATTGCTTGGAGTTGAGACGAGTGGAGCATGGTTCTGCACCAGTTATTGCAAAAACTTAGGTCTCGGTTCCTTGAGAGTTTGACAAGGCAGCCCTCCTTCCCATAACGATTGGTTATTAAAATTTCGTCAGAACGTTAGTATAGCTTTAGTTCAATACGATTATATCTAGATATATTGTCAAATAAACAAATATTCACAGTAATGATGGATAGTAACTACCAGCATCAGGATCCAGGACCCGCGTTCCATCTTGTTTGGGACTTCCCAGTTGAATGTACCTACCTCCTAACGCGTCCTGGATTCCAACGCTCGTTACTATTTGGCATTGCTATTAAAATTAAACCAAAAGTAGCGTCGAGGCGCAGAAGCCCATATGCCAATACAGACCGGTCAATTCGGTTCAATCATCGATGGGAAAATGACAAGGAATGACATACACACTTACAGATTTCCTCCACTTACCAATAATAATATGAAGAACAGCAGTCACGACATCATTAGTGCCATTAATGGAAAAACAAGCAGCATCTGTTGATCCTGAGAAGAAACAGAATAAAATATGGTCAGTAAATATTATGGTCACTAAGTAGGCTGCATTAAATAATGAATAGTAAGCTAGAAGCTGAATGTTGTATCCAGAATCATTAAAGTTGATTAACTAATCAAATAAGATAGCTGAGATTTATATTTGATCAAAATCTACTCACATCGTATAAAAATGCGTCGTATACTATGCACAAAACGCGACCAAAGATATAAGCATGTCACTCCAGAAAAAGATACATAACAATCATATGATCTATTGGGATAGATTCATGTTGATAAATATATGTACTAGGCAACTAACAATACCTATTGTATGAAGGCTTATGATATTACTCAGCTGCTCAGATCAAAGTAAGGGGAGCAGAATTTAGGATATTGAACGTATTGCTTGAAAATCAAGAAAACTAACAGAGCATGACATATTCATATATGAAACAATATAATATGAAGAGTTAACCGGTGTACATTATCCATTGGTATTTATATTTACAACTATGGTTGCATTTCATTCTACCAAGGATGTTCTTGTCAGATAAAAAGTAAGGCTAAAATTAGGTAACTTAATTGGATGACTTACTGAAGTCGTTAGCCATATAAAGAAACACCCTTATTGATAGGGTATGAATAAGCAGATGAGTGATGAGTGTTTTTCAAATCTTCAGGAAAGGAGTGAAATGATCACGAGATCAAAGCGCAAACATTTTGACTTGAGAGTCAAAACACACATTCATCCGTAGTATTATGGATTCGGCTTTGAAAAAAAACTACAAAGAAGTACCATTCAAAATAGAACAATAAATGTCACAACTCCCAAGCATCAATGTATGAAGTCTTTCACTGTTGGTTTGAGTCATGTTGGGCAATGCAGACTAGCTGGTTGGGATCCATGGGACAAGAGGAAACAGTGGTTGGAGACTCTAGGTAATATGGGTGAGAACCGATATCAGTAGCGCAGGTGTATACACATATTATCCTCATCTTAACTCGGACCGTTACGCAGTAATGCTTGCTTTTATGTTGATAGATGATGATGATGATGATGATGATGATGATGATGATGATGATGATGATGATGATGATGATGATGATGATGATGATGATGAAAGATTACTTGAAGCATAGTAAAACCAAAGTGACGACAAGTCTGGCGTAAAAAAGTACACTGAGACAGTAGTCTGAAGGAAGACTCATATTGCTGGACGAACAAGAGCATAATGGCAATAATGTGCTCCTTTTAGGAGAACATCATTCTCAAGAATACTAACTTTCAATTCTCGAAAGTGCTAAGTGATAATGAGTCAGATAACAGCTCAGAGAACACAATACAACCAGTACCTTCAATATATAACCTAAACACTTTTTTTCAATTTTTATGTTTGTTGATCATCGCTTACCACCGCCAACATTATCAGGACTGTTACTGATGCCTCCAAGTTACGATATAAGTCTTTTAGTCGTCTAAAACCATGCTTCCAACTATATATTGAAGCCAGAAATTTTGATATCCAAAGCCGTATAAAAGTCGAATAGGAGATAGAAACCGATCCTCCCACCCTTATCAAAGTTAGAACAGATGTTGAAAATCTGTGACTACATAAAGCAGTAGAACGGAAATATTAGTAGGAGGGCATTAAATTTAGAGTTAATTCCTTAAGATTAGTCTTGATTATTGACTAGTGCAGCCTGTGAAAATGATAAAACTCCGTTTATGCTGGCTATCTAACCAGAAATCAAGAACAGGATATTCAGGATTATACTGCCTACACAGAACATATCCTCCTACTGCCATATTCTAGAACACAAACACTTACCAACATATCACATACACTTTTCTCCTAAAAAACTAGAAAAGTAATTGACTTCAACCACAGAAAAACCCTGCATCAGTATTCAACTCTGAAGGGATCTCAAACATACATGTATGCTGTATTCTCAGACTCCGTAAGCGAGGTGACAGTCACAACAACTAGTAACACCAACGAAGAATATCTATAATCACAATTTCTATAAAAGTCGGTCATCAAGTTGTCCATGACGGAAAGAAGATAAGTCAGTTGAAAAGGCTGTAAACCTGAAAGATTTTCAGAGATAAGAACACGTTTAGTTACACCCTAGCTTTACGCACCAATGCAGATATACAAGATTAAAAAACCTTGTCAAATTTCTGACTGACACTTGAAGTCTTAATTGAGAACTACGCATTATTTAATTCATGTCAGCGGAACAGTCAGAATCCGTGAGTGGAAACCTTAGATAATACAGCGACATACAGGCTAAGATATAAAAAGGACGTTTAGAAAGAGGTTGAATAAAACCACTTAGCAGTCGCTTCTAGATATGTTTTGGTGAAGGCACGCAGAGCGTTTCCTTCAGTACTGATAAGTGATATAAGTTCAGAAAGGAATATGGTCAATGAAACTCCTTCTCCAATAAGCACATCTTAAACCCAGCAGAAACTAAGTTTCACAGGATGATCGAAATCTATCAATCATTTAGCGATGAGATCACCATAACGATGCACACGGATTAGTTTTAGGTGATAGGAACCGATCACCAAGAAATGCTTATTGCTCTGCATCTTTTATCACTCGTCAACAAGGCGTATCTGAAACCCAAGGAAGCTGGCTACTCCTGCAAGAGATCTAAACGAAAATCACTCAATGCTGAGGTTAGAGCTGTTATCAATGGGGTAATAGGGCTGAAACTGACTTTGTTAAGGACTTTCAGTTACTTACAATCAACTGATAAAACTTTGGACTTGTTTAAAAGTCGAAATGTTTTGAATTCGTTGAAAGATATCAAATATGCTGCTTTATTTATGCTGAGAAATTGAGAAGCTCTGAATTTTCATAGACTAAACAGCAAGACGGAAAAAATATGAAGGTTGTGAAATTAAGAAAGTACATAAATTTATGAGGTAAATGTTCCCTTGTGCAAATCATGCAAGAAATTGGTATTTGAAGGACTAGAGCCAAATGTATTGCATGGGATTACATCCAGTCTTTTTTTACACTGATTCTTCCCTATCTTACTGATTTACATGCATATATTACAACACATTTCTATCAATCTACTCCCAATTGGTAATATTTTTCTACCGTACTTCTAAAGTAGTATTGCGCAACTCAGGTAATTGGTTATAGAATTCATCTTTGACTTTCCAATCCACAAAAAGTATGTGTAAAATGTATGCATGAATTTTTTCATAAACATCTGCTAGTCACCTACCCTCATTACACTATTATTATTATTATTATTATTATTATTATTATTATTATTATTATTATTATCATTATTATTGATAAACATAAACATGGTGCAGTAAGGGCACCAAGAAATGTGCCACACAAAATAATATAACAACATTATAAAGACATAAGCGAGTAAGAAAAAAACGCAATGAGAATACAATAAATAGAAGGGTTGTTCAGTAGGATACATTCAGAACACAACATTCATAACTTTTTAACAGCAGAAGATAGAAGGAAGTTACAGCATGACCACAACTGTATTCCATTAGGAACTATATCTGATAACTCAAGCCACTGAGTGGCGCCACCTCTCGGACCCCAACCCAGGGAGTCGTGACACATCAACAGATAGTAACCCGATACAAATATCCATCATCCCATGGAGCCATATCATACACTGACTACCCCTCCACTTCTTCCATCCAGTTCCAGGGCTAGCACATAATCAACGGTGAGGAAGAAGCTGTTGTTAGACCATGTGTAACACATGTCCAAGCCACTGAAGCTGGTGTTTGCAGATGACTTCACGTGTTGAGTGACGATCTCCATCATGCCCAACACACACACGCTTCTGTACCTCACAATTGCTTACATGGTGTTACCACCAGACTCGAGAAGTTCAACGGAGACAACAACGACCGAACACAGAGTAGTCACACATCCTCACTTCGGAGGTAGGTACCAGGTTTCACAGGCATAGAGCACAACTCTTGGTTGTATTGTGTTCTCTGAGCTAGGTTGTTTAATTGTGAAACTTTCATCGTCCTTCTAGGCGACATCATCAGCACTGACTTCAGTATGAAGGACGATGAAAACTTCACGATTAAACAAGCCAGCTCAGAGAACACAATACAACCAAGACGATGCACTTGAGCTACAAATATTCTCCACTATTTTAACAGAGCAGAACTGCTCGCCCCGAAGCGTTGTAAACCCAACCTTTTACGGTCAGATTAACGTCACGATGGTGGTAAAGGTGGCCAAGGTGGGCATATGCCACTCTGGCTTGTGATATGTGGTTGGAAATTTCATCATTCATACCTCCACCAGCACTCATGCAACTATCCTGATACACAAACTTTTCGACTACTTCGAACGCTTCATCACGGAGGGTGAGGGGAGGTACAGGCTCCTGTCAATCTTGTAAACGTACTTTGCACTTCAATGGTGTGAAGCACATACCATACTTACGGTTACATCTAAACCCCATGAGAATATATATATATATATATATATATATATATATAGGCCTAATAAAAGTATATGCAGAGCAATAACCAACAACAGTAGGCCTGGGCATAATATTTTTCAAATCACCTGCAGGAATAACTCCAAGTTTAAGTTTGATTTCAGTTCGATTTCTCCAGGCTTATGATCCATGAAAAGTGGAAGGTTCGCCTTACGTCTTTCGTGTAGTAATACGCCTTGAACAGCTTCTGCTAAACATCCATCACCACCAACACAAATTACCCTGAAAATGAAAATATATGTAAAACGAAGAACTCTCTTGAAAAATGTTCTAATAAATCACTTCGGAGATACAATTAGTTTGTACCATTGACTATAGTTAAGAAAAGAAATATGAATCTGCTTCAATAAGCTAAGTGAGATGCTAAAATAATTCAAATATTTACTCATTTTCATCCCAGTCAGAAATTCATGCACCAAAAATATAACTGAGACTATTGAGGTAAATTATACATATATAGAGGTAAATTTATAGTCATATGCACGAAATATTATTTTGGTTTGGAGGTTTGTGGGGATCTATTGATTTCAGTTTAGCATTCATCACGGACTGATATACTAGTTGAAAAACCATTGAAAGCCTGGGAGCACTAAAAAGTTGCTTTGTCCTAGTAAATAAATCCTCAAAATGAATTACTATCCATTGCTTCGAGACAAAATTCCCGAAGTTCTAATGAGAAGTCGTGACCGGTGGGACAACCAAAGTCGGATGTCAGGATAAATACTCAACGATAGAGTTGGATAAAGGTTGCGCTATATCGTGAATTGATGGAAGTAGAAAAATGTGGATAAATTTATTTTGACAAAGTGTCTCAATGGTGACGTACTCACCTCAAAACCTGGAGGTCCTGAGTTTGATCCTTGCGGGGTTATGGGTGTGGATTGTTAAGAAATCCCAACTAGGATGAAGCAGCTGATCAGTGACTACCAACCTGAAATATTATTTTGTTGTCCAAGATACTTGAACACTATGTAAAAGTTAATTTACACAGGATCTGTAGGGATAAAAATTAGCCCGACAATACAGTTTTGACTACTATATTAGTATAGCGATCGCATAGCTATGGTTGGTTATTACTGCGGACCACCATAACAACTTATATGATTACTTGAGCAGTGTTTTAGTGAACATGAACCAAGTCAGTGTCACTTCAAATTATGGTACTAAATACAGTTCCTGGTTATCATAAAACTAAAAGTCACTTAACAAAATCTGTAAATCGCCGCTAGTCACAAAGGTTATCAAACAGCTGTTGTTGAAACCATCGGAAAGTTTATCGACTGAAAGCTAGAAAACAAATATAATACTTCTGAAGACTCACTACAAAGTTGTTTTAGTCTCTAATGTGATTTTAAAATTTCAGTTATCGACGGGAATGATAACACGGATTTCAGGTTAAAGTTCACTTCAACGCAAGCTTCGTAGATCAACGTGAGTATTTGATAAATATGTTAACTTGTTTTTGTTTTTTAATATTCGCACATCAAAAATAGCTCAAACTTGTGCTGGTTACAGCAGCATACCTTAACTTGATGAGACATGTAGATAAATCAACATGAAAACTATCATATCAGATAGAACGAAAATAAAGAGAAATGATGTCTACTTGTTCCCGCATTATCGTAAGAAATCATGACAGAATACCTACCGACTACCAAAAACGTAGGAAATCGATTATAATAGCAGCTGATATTCTTTTGAACACAGATACCAGTTCAGTACGTCACACAGGAAGCCTACGAAACAACAATAAACCCTACGTAATTGATCACCTAGCCAAACGAATCTCCAATTCAAATAGGGGAGAACGGTAGTGGTAATCGGCTTCGTACAACGATAGTAAGTGCTAAAGCAAAATTTGTTGTCTCGAAGCCCCGTTGTTTCAACCAACCTTGATTGAAAGATTTAGAAAACTGTTACAACATATACGCCACAATTTAGGGCCAAGCTCCTAGTACGACCAAAATAACGATTCATAGCAGCGAAAACACCTGCCTTCAACATTTAAACTAGTTAGAAAATAATTTTATCAATAATCATATCAGAAATAGCTACTACAAGAGAACCACCAGGGTGTTTGGAAAATAACTTAAACACATGAGGTGTATGAATAGTCTGATAGGTCAGACTTTCATTCAAGAAGTAGTCATAGTGAATACCTCTAAAAAATACCTCAATAAATGAAGCGATTATCTATTACTCTGTGGCCTATGTTTGTGAAAAAACCTATTTCGCCAATTAAGTGATCTAAGATAAAATCTATGATAATTTAAAGCAATCTGAAGCTAGTCTTTCAACTAATAGGTAAACATCGAAAATGTAAGTGACCACATGAAATCCACATGAATATTTAAAGCTTATTAACGATGAAAAAAGTATTCCATAGTTTTTCTCAACACTCGCTATTTCTATACTGACATATTAGTTTAATTGAATAATGCTACACAGAAAAGAAGATAAGTTTAAATGATTGGTGAGAAAATTATCTTTCGTTACTCGTCATTACACATGATCATAATCCAACATGTTTTCCACAACAATATAGAGGGTTTCCTTAACTCTAGAATATATCAGTGAAAATTTTACTAAAGATGACGAAGCAGTTAAACAGTGAACTTAGGGGTATCTGGAATCGAAACAACATAACTGAAGACTAACATATGATGAATGACTGTCAATTTCTAGGATTCATTTGCATACAATCATAAGACGGTTTCGTTTCCACTTAACTGACATCAACAAGTAGAATAAATCAATTAAAAGTAACTGAAACACCGATATAATATTAATGAGCAAATAAAGAAGTACTGGATACCAAAAATTCCAAAAAGTGAATCCTACAATAAAACCTTCAGTGACTTCACAATTGAATCAAGTGTGATATTATTTGATTTCTATTCATAGGCTAATTAAAAGAATGAAGGATACGATTCGTGGTTTGTGGGGAGTGATAGGTTTCAAGGTGTTTCTCACCACAGATTGATACGAACTGTTACAAGAACTACCTGAGTTAAGTTGATACCGTATGGACAGGGTATTTTCACGCTTATATCATTCACAGAAAATAGCGATAAAAATGATAGACTATGAGAAGCAAAAACTGATAGCAGGCCGGAAACCCAATGGTCGCTGGTTCGAATTCGCTTGCGGTCCAAATTTTCATCTCACCAATCATCACCCAGTATAAATACTAGTCTGCCGAACTACAGCTATCTTCGATAGTAAAATGATAATGAAAAACTGATATGCTTGAAAAATAGGTCACCGGATAACTCTCATCCTAAACCTGTCACAACTAATGAACAAAAGAGAACACCCATTAAGTAAATAAATAAACGGTTACACCTGCCAAGTTAAGACAAGCCACCTGCAATTCACTTCATGATACACGTTCTTTAGCTTCATTAAGCAATTATCAGCAGTAGCAGACATCTATTCTTACTTTATGTCCGGAAAGTATTGATCACAGGATTCTGAATGACAATATTATTACAGTGACACGGAAATGATAAACGGTGAAAGCACTAAACAGAAACAGCTCTCCAATCCCTCGGTTTTGACTAGTTTTCTAAGTGAAGTGACGATATGTCAGCGTCTCCAGATAGTCAGGCAAAGATATGATAAAGTCCTTTTTGTAATTATTCATTTACGCTGAACTATCCCTGAAAATTTCAAGTGATTCTTAAGTATTTGAACATGGATAAGTAATTATTATTCTACTTAGTTGATTATCACGTAACAAAATAAGTCGAATTCGATTCAGAATTCACTCAGTAACCCTGTGCACATTCGTACAGTAGGTGATGAGCTACATCTATTGTGTTAGGGATAATGATACTATTTGGCTGCCCGAACCTATAACCCACTGGTTGAAAGTCAACTCCCTAAACCAATAAGCCACAAGTCCACAACGCGATAAGTAGCTGTATAAACATAACGAACAACTTTTTCCACTCTAAAATGGATGAATATCAGTTAAATATTAGTTTAAAAAGTGACTGTTCACAGAAATATGCCTTGAAAACAATTGTAAGCAGGATCAATGTAGTAAAACTGAAGGATACATTTTATTGAACCTAACAAAGCTGAGATTTAATAATAAAGCTTAACCAAGTAGTTGAAATAGTGTCCATGTAAAATAACCAGCCTTATATAAAACACGTTATCATGAAGGTGATGATGTCAATGTGTATTATCAAACAAACTGCATTCAAGACAACCTAAGTAATTTACAAAGGTGGAAGAACATTCAATAGTTGATTGAAAACCCATTTTTAACGACAGTAAACACATTTCTGCTTCATGGCAGTAATATACAGGGTGTGTAAGAAAAGTATATTCAGCATTTGACTATTCATGCCAAATTGTTTGTATATTGTCAATATCCAAGAGAGAGAACAATATTTGCGGTTCTTTCCAGCAAATCAGTCATATATTTGGTTTCATCCTTACATTGGCAACAAATGAATAATGTACTGAATGCTAAAGACCATCTCTAGTATTAACAAAGATCTTTCGCATTAAGTTGAACAGGATATCTAATGCACCAGAAATAGTTAACCAGGGATTTTCAACAAAACAATGAAGAAAGATTATATCAGCCTCAGTCACATTTTTACCCTTCCATCTTGTGAGATGTTGAATTACTTTAGTCTTACTCATTACTATTTGTTGATTAATAAAGGCGAAGTTTGTACGTCAGATTTCTAAGTCTAAATCCTCATGGAATACCTGTATGCTAAAGCGCATTATTGATACCCTACGACATAGTCTATATTTCATCATCAGTCTTTTCAACTATTGACCTAATCGCCTCATGCAAACTTATTACAGTGATGAAATATAGTAATGACGAATAGTGGCCAGCAGTGGAATCCAGGATGCTTGTTTCGTCCTGTTTGTGACTCATCATCTGGATGCACCTGCCTCCTATTGACCAACGTTGTTCCCACTAAGACTCAAAACCCAAGGCGATCACTTCAAACACCAGAGCGTTATCCACTACGCCACCTAGTCACCATACCCACTTCTTTTGTGATGAGTGTAGCTTGTATAGCTTGCTTGTATTATCCCTGGATTATCCTGGATTCCCACTTTTAGCCACTATCCATCACTAACATAAAATTTAAACGACAGACAATATCGAGGCATCCGTGCAGGAGCCCATATGCCAATAGAGACCGATCAATTCGCTTCAATCAGCAAGGAGATAGTACAAGTAACAACATAAAGCCATAATATATGGTGACTAAGATGCTAAAAACGGAAGAAAAACTGCGAAGATTAAAGTAAAAGCAAAAACATTGAAGATAAGTGAAGATTAAGCGATAGTGATTACACGATACTACAAAAAAACCACCTCCTCAGTAGATGTAACTAAACCATCACAATAGTACTTAACTTTACAGTCATCAGATTTTTTGCTACTTTCTCATATGAGAATAAATCAATAAAAACAATAAAGGTTATTTTAAAGAAATTACACACAATTATAAAACGTTTAGTAAACTAATTAGAATTACAAGGTGAATCAATAAGATTGAAAGGTTTTTATTGACTTCAAAAACGTATAAACTCATGAAACGACATTAAAGAATCTTAACAAGTAAATTACCACTCAGTTTTAATAACTTTACGACATATTAGCTAATAGGTATGTCACGAAATCTAATTACCTATGTTTGAATAATAAAAACGTATAAGCAAACGGTAGACCTACATTTACAAGTATACTAAATCACATACAACTGTATGAATAAATACACACATAAAATACTGTACTCACTAAACAAAGAACAACCTAGTAACAATATTACAGAGTCTAAACTCGCACTAACTAATTCTGCTTTAGTTAGTGTGTAAAATTGCTTAACTTCAGATGTATCAGTGACAAGTGACCGATACTTGGCTTATTTAGTCTAATAAATATATCATTTCTCTCTCTAAATCTCGCTTTCATACGATAGACCCTCAGGATGGTAGTTCAATAAACGATGAACACACCTAATTTGGGAGGACTATGATCATGGTATAATTTTCCATCCGTCTTTGTGAGTGTAAATTCTCATTTGTAGCAATTATAGAGCTTGAGCACCTCTTAAAATCGACGCTCTGGATACCTCACTTTCTATTGGACATCGCCGTTGTTTACATTTTAGAAAGTTGTGGACACTAGTTTCAATTGCATGCAAACCAATTTACAATCGAACTTATATGTATACCAACAGTCAGAGACGTGATGAACTGACACAACATTTTACTCTGGCTACCTCTTTCCAGCCGAAACCTACTTCAGTTGATATTTCGTGACAAGGTAGACGTTGACTATGTATGTGTAACACATCTCACCTCCCAACTGGATGAAAGTCTACAACCTTATCAACTGGTTTACCTTTACTATCTAAAAATTAACGCTTGACTTGTTGATTACTGAAATGGTAGCACCATAACACACGATCTATGCTGTGAATGCAGTGATGAACGAACACGTGAAGCCTCGGCATTCCCATCAACTTGAATGGCGACATTTCACATTTAGTAGGGCAGATCAAACTGCAGCGTATTACACTTGGCTCTTAATAAGTAATTGGATATCACAGCGTCACCATGGATGGCGAAAGCTGTCAAAATTTAAGCGAGGCTTTCATATTTATACAGATTTTTTCAATCGCTGATCCACCAACACATTCGACTTCCCAAATAAGCGAACTGGTCATTCTTAATCACTCCGCTTTCTGTTAGACAAAGCATCAATTCAGACATTATCAAACTGCCGCTAGAGGTGTCCAGAAGACTGCATCTTGTCAGCATCTTTACCTAACAGGAATGTCATATGCGCACGGTATGTCTAAGAAGGATTACCCTGTAGTTCATGGAACAAACTATACTTTGAAGGCAACTTATTGAAAATCTTTCACATAGCTGAATAACTCTTACACCCGCGTATATAATTCATAACAATAACGAATTCAAGGAAAAGCTTACCCATCATACGAATCCAAAGTGTTTTCAACAAGATGATCTGTTATATGACCACGATGTGTTGTGACTATGTAAAATATCAAAAGGAAAAACAAAAGATAGACTTCCTATACTATACATACGAAACAAGCACATAAACTAAACCATTCCCACTAACACACCATTTTTCAACCGAATACACAAAATGCAGACAGGGGTACAACTATACATAAACCGCTAATATAATTGCAAATAATCTTAACGTATTTATAACATACGCTTGATATTTCCTGACTTTACCCGAAATATATGAAAATCAAGCACTAAATCCGTAAATGTACAGATTCTTTAAAAGCATGTAATTCATGACTATGAATCTCAGTTTTGGTTGAAAAATACCACTACACTGTCCTAAGTGACAAGAGATGACAGATGAAGTGTAAGACAAATGGAAGAAAGGTACTAATCCTTCAAGCCGTTTAACGTTAACTTGAGCACTGCGAAGAACTGCAGACCTAGAAACTGACACCTAAAATACCGGAGCTCAACAGCTAGAGACATTAGATGATGCAAATAAAAGTATACCTCAGTGACATATTTTTTGTTGTCTCAGGTATATTTGTCACGTCCTTTCTAAAGTTATTCTCCCGGATAATTTTCGTAAGCCTTCTATGGAAAAATAAAATTGTTTGGCATAAAACCTATCACATAATAATTAGCGTAATTCTTAGCGTTAGAAATCAATCTATTTATAACTAGATGTGTTCAAATTACCCCTTTAGTACGACAAACCAATTTATCAATAACCACATTAATTGAACCCTTTTGAAGTCTATTTCTGTCAATGCCGTAGAAATGTTATCCATACAGTAAGATGATATTGTTTGCATATTCAAGTTAAAGGGCTAAGTAAGTGAGTGCCAAAGATGTAAAGGCAACTACTAAGAATGAGCCCTGAGTAAAAAATAATCGACTGAAAAATCTATTTCTTGCTCCAAAAAACTGATGGATAAGCGTAATAATCAAACAACTACTTAAAACAAAAATCATAACAACAATCAGTCTTGGATGCTAAATAAACTCACCAATAACTTTCGTTTGAATTTTGGCGAGACAAAGTAATGGTGCTACTTGGTCCGTATAAATTTGTTGGGACCTTTTCGTTCCACAAAAAGGGTTGATGAAAACCAGTAAACTTCGTGGTCGAGAGGAATCTGGTCAGAAAAAATGTGTTTAGAAGGGTATAAACCATACAGACCACTAATTAAAAAGTAAATAATGATGTGCATATCATTGCAAATCAGTTGACTAGACAACAGTCTACAGGTTCTCAAATAAAAAGTATTATATATTTGAAAAATTTGAAACCAGAGGCTTGAAGGTCGAACTTCTAGAACAAGGTCCAAAAGTTTTATCTCTTTACATTTCCTCTCTTTAAAATTTAGAACAACTGATGGCGTGACGAGAGTAGGACTCGATTACTTTCGTGTAACCTAAGCCATCTGATATTATTTTTCAGAACATAGCAAGTTGTTACCGCCACATGTAGGCAAAAGTTTATCAGATCAATGTCAGATTAACTATTATCTAACATTATACCGTAACAAGCAGACAAATCAGTACAGCCCGGCACAACAGTCTTGCACTGAGTTATCTAATCTGACATGAATAAATGAAAAAGACATCGAAATAAACAAGGAAATAGGTAGAAAATAAGGAACTAAGGCTTTATACGACGATCATAAACGAATATACTTGCACTACTGTAAATAATTTTTTCTCCTGCATCGCGTACAATAACGAATCAATGATTCTAAAAATATTAAGAAGGTCACGTAGCCTATTTATTATCAACTTGAAGTTATTTCGAAAACTTAAATATAGCAGCAAGATTAACTATCAATTCCAAACATGTCGAAAGCATGACTCATAATTCAGATGGTGGCACAGCAAAGTAAATAAACATCGGTAAATGCTAAAAGTGTAGGAATATACGATTGCAGTGAATACTTAGTAAGGTACAACCGTAAACTGAGTGAAGTGCTGCTATGGTACGAAGTAAAATGTAACAAAACAACAAAACAAAAATATTCCGTGACATGAATTACGAATTCTAACTAATATAATTAAAGTCGACGGGAAGATATAAAATGGAAAACATTAGAATAACCTGTAGTCACCTCACAATGTTTGTGGATACCTCAGTCTTTAGCTTAGCAACATCGAAGAGAGAGGTTAGATACAGCATTTGATCGCATAACAGATACAACAGAAAAGTCAACAAACCAAATCACATCAGCAATAGAAACCACACAGCCAGGGAATTGTAAGCAAAGAAATATACCCTCAAGTATCTAATAACAAATAAGACAAAAAGCTCTAGAAACTTGGGATTACAAGAGCCACAAGGATCCAGGATAGACGATGGCTCTACCACATCCATCTTTCCTAAGAGCATTTGATGAGTATCAGAAGCTGAAGAATAGCCAAATTCGTAGAGTGGATATTCATAAGGTAACTTGATAATAACAGGTTTCTGTGGAGACAGGTCAACATAAGAGCACACAGAATATCGTACTGTTGTTGGTTTCCAGCCATGTCACAGATTAATTCATTACGAAATGAATTTAGACTAATATAACCAATTATTAATTTTAGCTCTGTGAAAAAATTGTCGAAATCACGAAAATCAATAAACCCCAACTTTTTGACGATGTACTCTTTAGAATACGTTCCAGCGGGAAACTCAAGCCTGGAAAAATTATTAAAATAAGCACTAAACCATTTCTGTCACGAAAGACTCAGAGAACATCAGCTATGGATATTCTTGAAGAGACTAATGATTATGTTAAATTCTCGAGCAGCGAAAGTCAAGTAACTGGAAAGTTGTGGTAAAAAAAATTAAGAGTGGTATGCATCGATATGACAAAAATAAACTAAGATTGGAACTTGCTACTTACCGATACTGAATAAGCTGTTATTTAAAGAGTCGATCCATTCAGATGCATGATGCTCATCTTCACAATAAAACGTGGTGATGCGAACTCCCCAGCTACATTTCTTGCTTTGTTTGATACTCCAAATAACGAATCCACAATCCATATGTTCATCTTTTTTTCGAAATGCCTTCACAACTTCACCACACCATTTCATATCATGAGCTATCTTCAAAGACGTAACCCCAATAAAATGCTTGAAACTAACTAAAAGCTAGGTACAAATAAATATGACTTACTTTGATTCACTATACGTACATCAGATTCATTTGTGGTTTTCCACAATATTTCGCTTTCTGTTATTCCAACGGAACATGTAGAAAAATTTCTATCTCTGAGGTGATGTATTGATCCAAAGGTTATAGTCATTTTAAGTTACAACTCTTTGGATGGTGAGGAACTGGATTTGTGCAAACTTCTAGACAGGATCGAATAACAGCATTGAGAACGGAGTATTATGATAGTTCTGTGACTTTGTTGCCTTTAGAACTTCATACAAACTGAACTTTAGAATGGATAATATACAAAAGAAGACCGTTCCTGTTCCTTTATTTCCCCCTAAGGATAATAATCAGCCTTTTTTTGAAACGACTATAAACGTATAGTCGTTACAAAATCCAGCCAATAATGAGCAACCCAAGGAAACATCTCAAAAAAGACACAAAACATGTGCGTAAAAAATACCAACAGAAGCTTTACAAAGCATAAGTAGGAAGATGAAACGGACCAAAAATTCACAAAAGAAACGTAACGTCACCCTTAAAAATCAATCTAACATTCAACACCCAATATCCAATGGTAAAGTGCAAGCGTACAAAACTGATAGTTTATGATCTCTCGCGTCTAGTTCTTAGGCCTTAGTTCGAGTTATTTGGTTCACTCCTTCAGTAGACGAGGAAATCCCCTCTGCTTTCTTGCTTTTAGCCTCGGTGAGGTGTATATTTTGTGGGTTGGTAAGTTGTTATTTGTAGAGTGATTGAGGAGAAACTGCTTGGTAGGAAGTTTAGGGGACCGCCGTGACTTCTCTCTGTGTAGGTATCTGGAAGAAAATAGCAAGGAAGTGGTAAAAGAATGAAGAAGAAAAAAGAAAAGAAGGGAAGAGGAAAAGGAAAACGAAGAAAGACAAGGGAGAGAAGGGGGAGTGAAAAAGAGAAATAAAAGAGAGAGAAAGGCATGTGGGGATTGTCGGAATGGTAGTTTAGCGTCACACTTCCCCAAAATCAATAGCCTAGGGTTCGGCGACTTCGACATTGATGCTGACCTTGATAGTTTAACTGGACTCGCTAAGCTGAAGGCACCTGGTCAAGCATCCTCGCCATTTGGCACGCTGTCGTGTTACGTTGCACTGCTCGTATTCGACTCTCTAGCCAGTTAGTTGGAACGCATCGGTATTTTGGCACAACTATCCAAATATACTATTCCATCCAACTACGCTATCGTGTTCTTCTTTGGTCTCGTATTCGTGGGTATATTAACAAGTCCGAATAATTTGTGATTGGTCTTTGCGTCTGTCAAGTTCGCACCAGGACAAATCCTAAAGTAGGAATGGATAGCGTTGACTTAGTTCCTACAGAAGAATTAGCAGGTGGTGTGGGTGCATTAAGAAGAGAGATGGTGAGTGGGAGGTAGGAGGGGGTTGGGGGCGAGTTAGGTTGGTGACCACCTAAGTGCGTCCGTGGTAGAGCATGCGAGGTGGCTTAACTGTCTAACCGTCTCTTGAATGAGTTAACTGAGGGATCTATAACGATATGTCGCGGTAAGGCATTCCATAAAGCATATACTCTTAGGGCGAAAAATTTTTTGGACCTGAGCATGGTGTTGGCTCTCTGGTGAGCAATCTTAATAGGGTTTCCTCATGAAGACCGCTGAATTGCAGACAAAACTGATTTGTTTGCGTGGTCTGTCTGGTGGACCATCTTGCACGCCATAATAAGGTTACCTCTTTTCCTACGATAACCCAAGGTAAATAGGTTTAGGTGTTTAAGTCTTTCAGGATACTTCTTTCCCCTTAGTCCCATAACTCATTTTGTTGAGGTTCTTTGTGCCTTTTCAAGGAGATTGGAGTCTCCCTTGAGTGTTTGGGGGGCGCCGTATTGCAGACCTTTAGATGCCGCCGCACGTAGGATCTGAAGATGATGAGGAAGAGTCCGGGGGTGAGGGCATCAAGCTGTCTACGTAAAAAGGTGAAGAATGGCATTCGCCCTGGTTGTCATATCTTTTCAGTTGGAGCTGCTGTCCAAGGTGTCGGAGAAGTCGAGCCCTAAATCTTTCTCCATGGACACTCTGGTAGTAGCACTTTTGCTCAATATGTACTGGAATTCAGTCGTACTTGCTCCCTATTTTCTCATGTGCATTACCTTGCACTTTCCCAAGTTGAAGCTCAGGCCATTTTCCGACGACCACAGTTTGAGTTGCTGCAGGTCCTTTTGTAGCGCTGTACAGTCAGCTTCTTCGTTTACCACCCTCCAAATTTAAATGTGGTCAGCGAAGGAGAGTATGGGTGAGGATATTTTATCTGGCATATCGTTGACAAACAGGAGGAACAGAAGTGGTCCTAGGATTTCTCCCTGGGATACTCCTGATGTCGATGTCCTCCACACTGACCGTATTCTGTTCACTTTGGCGCAGAACTGCCTCCCTTCCAGGTACTCCTTGAACCAAGAGAGTGCTGGTTCACTTATACTAGCTGATATGACCTTGTAAAGTAGCACTGTGGGTGGGACACTGTCAAATGCTTTGGCTAGGTCGAGAAATACAACATGTACTGGTTTTCTGTTATCCCAGCTTTGTGTCCAGTCCTCCCAGGTGGTTAGTAAGTTGGTCACCCATGAGTGACCACCCCGAAAACCACGCTGAGCAGTATTAACAGTGTTTGTCCTATTGAGGAATTCCCAGATGGTGTCAGCTACCAGGCTTTCCAACACTTTCGACACGATATGGACTAGAGCGATTGGCCTGTAGCTGACAGTGCTTTTTCTGTCTCCTCCCTTGAAGATTGGCGACAAGATGGCGCTCTTCCACTCTTAGGGGAGTTTGAACGACTCTACTGAGTGCTCGAAGAGGTTTCAGAGTGGTTTCGTAAGCACCTCGGCACAGTTTTTGGTATTCAGTTTTTCAGTATTCAGCGACAAGATTTAGGTTCGCAGTTTGGAGACAAAAGGCCATTACCTACAATAATTCTTTTTCAGTAAGGCACTTTGCTTTCCAGTCCTCTTTGAAGTGAAGTTAATAATGACGTTGACATCACTTCTAGGAGTCCGTTCAAGAGTAAGAACTTCATGTTGTAGAAATATAGAACAATGTTTCCTCTCTGAGTTGATCTCAAGGAACTACACTCTTTTTAGGGTGGCACGTTGTTTACTCCGTTCTGAGAAACCTCTTTTTTAGAGATTATCAAATAATTAATCATTTTTTTAGAGGCAAAGCTGTCACTCATGGTTTGTAAGACAACAAGTGGCCTCTTGAGTACAGTCTACCTGTACCGCAGGACTCTGAGTATACATCCAACCTCCTGTGAAAGCATTAGGGGATGCAACAAGCCGTAATGACTTCAAGAAAGTTCCATGCTGACCACTATGGGGTTTTCATGCATCGCCCTATGTGCTCCCTCCCGTTCCAATCTAAAGTATTGATCTCTAAGATAGTGTTTTCCTCTTAAAAGTCAAGTCCAATCGGCGGTGATTAAGGGGATTATAGGCGACATGACTGTGATCAGATTCCCTCCAGTCTTCCTATATTGAATCGGATGCGGCTTAAAACAGTCTAAGAGATCCCGGTAAGGTTCGTACCGTGTCCCAGCCACTTCCTTCATAGCTCTTTTCCCAGCCACCTATAAGAGGACTATGTCTCTTTCCAAACATGGATATATAACGAGCGATTTTTCCTCTAGATGAGGATACCCTAGAGTTTGGGAGACAAACCCCAGTACTCAATGCTGTCTGCAGAGTGATAAGTGATCAGAGCTTCAAGTGTGTCAGTTACGGTTAGTGAAGTGACCTGATCTGATTTTTGTCGCATGCTCAGCAGAGAAAGTTTGTAATGATTGGGTGTTGATAGGCTTTCCCCTGGCCTGTGAGTAGGTTTGGAGGTTGTCACTACTTCATATCACATTTCACTCAAGACGCTTCTGTCACTGACTAGGGTTTGTCCTCCCTGCCACGTGGTCCAGATTACGCGACGGTAACCGTTACTTTTTGAGGTTCGAAGGCCTTCCTGATTCCTTCTAAATAGCTGCCGCCAACTGTTACAATTGACAGTGTTGCCTCCACAAGACGGCATTTTTAAGAAGCCTACGCAACTCAGCAGAATCCAAAATAGCTTCGGAAAGCAACCAAACAACTGTCATGGATGTTTTTTAATCACATTTTCCCTGAACCCTTCTCACAGTTCAGGTCCGGATGGTATTTCAAGCTTCGTATTCACAAAATGCGCTGATAATTTATGCTATCCGTTGGCTAACATGTTCAACAGAACGTTTTTAGAAAACACCATACCAGCCTCCTGAGAAAAATAGTCCCAGTACCTAAGTTTAGGACTCTAGGTGCACGTACAAAATATCGTCCGATTGCAGTTACCTCTCCGTTCTTAAAAACAACAGAGAAGCCCATAATACCTGTGCTCGAGCCCCCACTGAAGCCTTACGGAGACCCTAATCGATTCGCATATGAAAGCAGAAGAGGCACTTTGGATGCCACTACTGTCTTACATCACGATATAACTTACAGTCTTTGCAAAAGTCCGAGAATGTAAGGTGTGCCTTTCTGGACCATACCTCAGCATTTGACTCTGTGCTAAGACCTCTTTTGCTGGGCAAGCTACGCCGGACAAATACTCAGTCCTGAATAATCAGCTGGCTGCAGTCTTATTTCTCTGACAGCAACAAAAACACACTTTTCATAGAAGGAAGCGCTCCGCTTCATTGCGCACCGTGGCTGGAGCAGTTCTTTCCTCGTATTTTCTCATTCTTTCTGTATGGTCTACCATCTTCAGCCGGTATCAAATTCATTAAACATGCTGATGACCTAATAGTTTCCATACCTATCTCATCTTAGGCAGATTGCCCCAACTGACTGATTTCCTATCTACTGTCAGACGGTGGTATTCTGGGAACGGTCTTATGCCAAATTATTCCAAATGTCAGACCATGATCATAACTTATGCGGACTACCTAGTCCTCGTCATCTTGTTCTACTAATAGTTGCGCACTAGAGAATGTTATAAATGTGATTTATCCTGACGTGTGTTTCTCTTCGGACCTTCCTTGGTCTTCTCATGTCTCACTGATTTCCAGAAGAATCGTCCGCCTAACTTTCTATATTAGGAAGCTGAGAGTATCCAGCATTACTCAGCCTCTCCTCTTATTTTTTATA